CGTACGTACGTACGTACGTACGTACGTACGTACGTACGTACGTACGTACGTAGAGTAGAGTAGAGAGAGAGAGAGAGAGAGAGAGAAGAGCAAAGAATTATACTGCCTTTCAAAATAATAACTTGAAAATTATTCTACTTACTCAGTAGGAGACTCCATGCAAGATGCCATAAATTCGAAGAACAGGTAGCAAAATAAACAGGAAATCCTAAACCTTAGGAACAGATGGTAAGTTTGGTCTTGTAGAAGGAAGGCCATCTTGGCTCATCACATGACTTGACCTTGCATGTCCAGTTGCTGAGCTTAGAAGAGATGAAGCGGGTACTAATGGCTTAGTTGGCCTTGGGGGATTAGCTATTGGTGGCTGTGAAGAAACTGTGTTAGAATTCGGTAGAGGAGTCTTGCCAGTTGGGTTTGATGATAATGCTGCTGCCCTAGATGTCGGAGGAGGATATCCAAATCGTGCTGCAATTATTTGGGCTCGCTCATGGTAAAGCCTCTGTCGTGCCTTATCGATTGGCTCCCTTATCCTCATATTCGCTCTCTCCATCTCAAAGAGGGGACCCATCTTAACCTCCAACTTTTGCAACTGCAGGAGAAAATGAAGTGCTTTGATATCGGAAGGCATCTATAGAGTTGGCATTTTGAGTATGAATTGATTATTCGAATTTCTGGCATGGGCCTTTCTGAAAAATTGAAAAACTGTCTGTTCTGAAAATCTGAAATCATAAGCCCATATATCACTCAATTTTGTTGCTAGTTTTCTCCATGGAGCTATCATTCCAGGTGTGAACAAGGAATGGAATTTCATATTTCCCAAAAAAACTGTAAAATATGTACCTTTTGAATTATCTGAATTAGATAATCCAAAGACAAACGCATTTTCATTTTTCTTAAAAAACAAAACCTTGGTCTCCAGGAGAACAAAATGAAATTTAAGGTTTGAAATCTATGGACCATATAGATGATACCTGCTTCTCAATGACTGATAAGACGAGCTGCTGAATTGTTTCTTCCTCCTGCTTCGCAAGAAGTTTTGCCTTGACGGCAGTCGCAGAGAGCGCACTTAGAGCAGCATGTTTTAGCCTATCCTCTTTGTGACCATCTTTGGATTCCACTGAGGCATTGGGCTTCCTATTGTCTATGTTACTGGTTTCTTTCGCAGCATCACTCTCAGGTTTGCAGTTATTCTCAACTGTCTTATTTCTTTCTCTTGCATTCTCCTCACCTGTAAGGGATAAAGCAACCAAAATGAGTAGAACTAAACCAATCCAATAGACTGTAGAGACAAAGAAGACAAGCACAGGGAACAATGCTCCCAAAATTATTCCATCAAACTCATCCCAACATAATACACACACACACAACGATGCTCCCAAAAGTATTCCATCAACCCATCCCAACGCACATGCATGCTCAAAGGCACACACACAGATTGAACAATGACATGTGCAGACATACCCTTGCTCATGTGTACATGGGTTGAGTTTCCATTTAAGTATTATATGTATATGTATATGTAATTATGCATATACATTGTATGTATAATACATGCATGTAGGATGATAGTTAGCGCTTCCAATTTAAGAAACAGAAACAAGTACTGTACCTGTATTTTCCTTTGCTTCTGGTGCTGAATCAGAAACAACTCTTTGCTGAGGCACTTGTGCTTCTGAAGGAACTGATTCAGCCATCTTCTCCACAGCCTTTGCCCTATCTAGACCTGCTGTGGCCTCTGATAAGGTCTTCAGTGGATTTGCTTCATCCAATCCATTCGAAGTAGAAGGCTTCTCCATGTTATCTGGTAATGAGCTTGATGAAACGGTTTCACTAGGTTCCCGCATAGGAGAAGCCTTTGCTGTGTTCTCTTTTATAGGTGGAGCAGCCTTCTCTGTGTTCTCCTCTACAGGAGAAGCCTTCTCCATGTTCTCCTTTATAGAAGGATCCTTCTCTGTATTTTCTTTTGATGAGCTCGGCATGGTTGTTTCCCCTGATTCCTTAGCAGGAATCACATTATCCGATTTTTCCATTGACATAGGTGGTGTAATCGTGTCCTCAGATTCCTTTGGTGGTACTGGGTCCTCTTTTCTTTCCTTTAATGAGCTTGGAGAGACTGCCTGGCCTAATTCATTGTTAGGAAGAGGATCTTTGTTGTCCTTTAAAGACACAGAGTTCACTGTGTCATTCTTCTTTGCTTCACCCTCTTTCACAGTTGATGAATGGTTTTCCTCTTTCTGGACCTCCACATCAACTGTATCAGGAGTGGTGCTGTAGTTTCAACACTGAATTAGACATGGTATTTGAAGTGGCCGACAAAGGGAATATCTTTAATTGAAAAGGTAAAGTCAATAGATGGCAAGTAAGTTCACAAAAAACAGAAAGATATATTGAAATGTTAATATTACAAAGATAGTAATGTGGAAACAAATTGATAAGACAAAAATAATGTACAACTAAATGAAGCAAACAAAAGGAAACATAATAAAAGAGAAAATATCAATAAAATAGTCAAAACACCTCAAAAAATCAATGTAGTAGTTAAATCAACTGATTCACCAGCAAAAGTATTATTATTATTTTTTTAATCATTTCACTTTGGCACCCCTTAATTATTTTGTTGGAAAATACCCAGACTGCCCCTGTTTGAGTTTTAGAACCCTAAAAAATGTGAGGACACTCAAGGACTTTGGCCACTTAAAATAACATAAATACTCCCACTCGTTTCAAGTCCCAAACCCAGAACATGCCTTTATAGTTAAAAAATTCCGTTCAGGGTTTGGCCCAGGAACAAATAGGGGATAGTCATATCCTTTGGTTCCAGTAACTTAAGTGGGGAAATCACCAAAATGCCCCAGCTTGTTCCGTGTTCCAAATGTAGATTTTTTTTTTGAAAAGACTAACATTTCTTTACTATTAAAGAGAGAGAGTACAGTAGGTCAAAAAATGAGGCTACCCACAAGCCAGGAGCTACCAAATGTACAAGTATTTTTTTAATGAAAAAACCTGTTCTAGGTTTGGAACCTAGAACAAGCAGAGTACTAGGGTCATTTGGCTAAAGTTACTTAAAGTGGATCAAATTATCAATATGCCTCAAGCTTATAAATACAGAAGAAATCCAATTTGGGCAATTTTTAAGAAAATTCTTGCGGACCTATATAAATGAAAGTATACTAAAAAAGAAACCACTTTGTTGGTGAAATTGTTGATTCAACCACCACACTGATTGTCTTACATGTTTTGACCATTTTAATAATATTTAATCTAAAAGAAATTGCAACATGTCATACCTCAAAAAATACGTACCAAATTATGAATTATCAACTGAGTGCAGCACTCTCAAGTTTAGAAAGAAGTAAGAAGAAAATTTCCAAAACCATACTTATTATTTTTTATAAGAGGCGCCACAAATTCTGGGGAACTTTGGTTGAGTTCTAAAAGAATGAAAGACATTGGCCGTTTGTAGGAAAATTGCAGAGCTTATTGGGGAAAAAGGCAGATAAAAGTATTACAAAGATTCTTGGGGCTAAAGAAGATCTTGGGATGCTTCCACAATATTGCGAGAAGAATGGGAGGCAAAATAAATAAAATATAATTATTACGTTCCATAATAAAATGTCGGAATTTCAATGGCTTTGAACTAAAAGCATCCGTATTTGCACAGTTAAACAAACATGGTAATTACAGTTGCTCAAAAAACATGAACATAGCAATAGAAAGTCCGTCACGAACCTCTGGCTGGCAGGTGGATCTTTCACATCCTCAGGGGAATCTTCAAGAAGGAAGCTATGCCTCATAGCAAGTTGAATACCAGGAGAGTCTTCAAGAATCGCCTTCATAGAACTGCGGGTTGAATCAGTAGCAACTTCAGGGTCAACCATGGCAGCTAAGAATGCCACCTGCAGAATAACCCATGCAAGAGCAGGGAGAGAGAGACAGAGACAGAGAGCTGTACTTTTCAGAACTTATCAAGAAAAATCATAGGAATAGTGTGCTCACAAGCTTATAGAGTGGTACATGAAAGAAGACATATTGGCTTATCCAAATATCATTATTTTAAGGACTTATCACTTACCAACGCCATAACAGGATTCCCTGCTTCTCCAAAAGAAAGTGACCCTCCTGGTCTAGAAAGGGCTCTCACAGCCTCAAATGCCCTCTTCAGCGCATCAAGCACAAAGTTTCCAACACTTTCTTTGGCTGGCTCAACTACATCGATTTCTTCTTTTGGCTTTGTTGGTTCAGTTGATAAAGATTCAGGGGCCTCCTCAGAATCTGTGCCTTTGACTGGTGGGGCAGCCTCCGGAAGAGATACATCTATGCTTGTAGAACCGGTGTCGGGAGCCCCCTGGATACTCATATCAGTAGGTTCCTTTCCTTCAAGAAAAGGGTCCTCAACAGGCATTTGGATGAAATGCAAAATACACTGAGACTTTGTTTTTGTGGCAACATGCTCAGCGATCTCATTCCAGTTCTCTCCATAAAGTTCCAAGGCTTCAAGAAGCAGAAGGGTCTCCTGATTAGTCCAACTTCCTCCACTGACACCCGGCATCTCAGTTGCAGGTTCCATTAGGATAAAATCTGCTGGTGCCATGCCAGAGCCAAACTTTCCATCATTATAGCACTCAGAACATAAATCAAAATCTGCCTGTCACAACAACAGGTACTCAAAGTGAATCTGCATGAAACAATCAAAGAGCGTTTCTTTTCCAATATGAAAGCATTATCACATTAACAGGAACTGGAACTGACAGCGTTTGCACATGGAAGACATTAATTACCATGTTATGTCAATTATATTTCTTGGCATTTCCCAGGTAGCCACAGAGAAAATTAATAAACACTAATCTACATAGTTCCATGAAAGTTTGTTCATCTATTATACTTAGCATGGTGCACATTTGAGTTCACAGAACTTCATACATCATATGACCTGATACTAAAAAGAAGAAGAGAGAATAAAGAAAAAGGGGACGAGAATGAAGGAATCTTAAGATCACGAGAAGAAATACAGGAAAATTGGGAGATGAGAAAAACATTTTCTTATAACATCTCTTAAATGTTCTCATCACAAATCTTCCTCAACTCCAAACACCCCAAAAAACAAGGGAGTTCTCCTACCTCACCCCGTCCATGTGAGGTGCAATATGTATCAAGAAAATTAATTTTCCCATGAAAAAAAGAATAACAACAAGACCCATGCAAGGGATAATCTTGCAGGGGAGTTTTGAAAATGATTGCAATGAGTGCTAACATATTCCAACTAAAATATAGATCATGTTGAGCACTAACAAGTTGTATATTGCTAGTGACATGGCATGTCACCATAACAATTATATGGGAATCTTGAAAATGCCAATATTTTCATCCCAGACTAACCCCGTTTGAGCCATTGATAAATTTACAACTTAATCACAAATGCTACACTCAGAAAAACTTGATCTTTGAAAATTTAGCTATGAGTCAAAATGGCATCTACAACGCAACGCAACTCAACACTCAAGAAACATTTAGGCAAGAAGAATTGGATCCCAATGCCTAAAGATTGATTCTCTATGGCATGGTAAAACAAGAAAGGATATCAACTCTGATTGTTTTGAAACATTCTTTCAGGAATCTAATTCCCAAAAAAGGTCATCTAATGCAATAGAGAAAAGGTAAAGGTTGTTTTACTAACATTGAGAATTTATAAACATTACAAGTATTTTAATACTCCTAGAACTGTTAAAATGTTATCTGAGGTTTTGGAACATTTAGCACCCCCAAAACTTTTCCCATACCAAAAGTTAGAAAAACAAAACACCATGAGAGAGCCAGTTGGGTGGACAAAGTTTGGGGGAACACGGAGGTAAGAACTGTCTCTAATGAAATTAAGCAGATAGCCCATGCATAGCTCCTAAAATGTTTTATGAGGTTTTGGAACATTTAACACCCCCAAAACTTTCCCCATACCAAAAGATTAGAAAAACAAAACACCATGTGAGAGAGTTGGATGGACAACTCAGTTTGGGGGGAAATGGAGGCAAGCAACTATGTCTCTAGTGAACCTAGGCAGGTAACCCATGCAGAACTGCCTAGAATAGTCCTTGGCTTTTTTCTATTAACAAGTTGCAATGGAGCAACTTTGACTAAGCAATCACACTATACACAGTACGTCTTAACTAACATGACTCGGTCCAACCATGGTGTGGTCAATAAGGAAGCAGTGTCATAATTCTGCGCGCCCCTCCCCCCTCCTCTTTCACAATAAAGGGGAATAAATAGTGTTACTATCAACTCCTATGCACCACAAGCCATCCCATACTGTCCTTACTAAATCTATTTCAGTCTATAATGACAACTGCATGCCAAGACCTGTGAAGCTGGACACCAGGGATCAATATGTAACTCATATTGTAAATAGCCTGATGACCAAACAGCAATATCCCTCAAGGAGCACCACCTATCCATACCTAATTCCACAAATCCTGTGTTGATTGGGAGCCCTACCCACTCACATCTACTTCTACTCCTATCCCATAAAGATTTCACCATCACTTGGTTGACAGTACTCCAACTTCATTATTGTAACAATGCTATATACATATTGCACTTCCACACAAGATCATTCAGAACCAATCTTAGTTTAGGGTTTCAAGATCCCTTATGTTCCATGTAAGAATCCTTTCTACCCATCAGCTGCCACCCCACACTCCCTCTCTTCTTCTCCTGCAGTTTCCAACTGTTCATAAAAAATTAATTAGACTTTCTCTTTTATTCTTAAGCCTCTTTCACATTTCCTCCTTGTTGTCTCCCTTCATACTGCTACCTGGTTCATGCCTTTAAAACATCCATCACTAGTCGTTAAATTTTTCCAGATGCTCGTCCAAAGTTAACCATGACTGTCTCCGCCTTAAATGTTCATTCAAAAACTCCAAGGCGTTCTTTGCCTCAGATATTTCTATCTGCCGCATCGCTTCTTTTGGCAATGCTCTGTCCTGTCATTAATGCTAGAAAGCCTCATATGAAACAGAGCGGATAGGATAAATATACTCGTTTCCTCTTTATCTACCACTTTGGTGGGACTCCCTACCTTGCTAATGTGCAGGAACCCCAAATGAAACACAGGAGTTCATATCAGATCTTCTAGCTCACGACTCAACAGGCCTCATACTTTGCACTTCCAAAGCACTCCCACTATCATACCATAATCTTTATTGCTCCCAGTGAAACCTCATTTTTTTAAGTAGCAAGATATTTCGAGGGAATCATGCCAATATCAAAATGCAATACAACTATAGGATGAACCGCAATGGCAAGTCAGTAAAATAATATACATAAAATCATGCTGAAGCTCTTTTTGTTGAAACACATAATTTCAATATGTATAATATACACAAAATTACGCTTATATATATATATATATAGGGAAATGATATCATGTCACCATGCCATCATAATATAATGAAACTACACTTCTAGAAAACCATGTTTGTCGTACTTGTATGACCCAAATTTTGGCACACTCTCTTCATCTCAATAATCAATCTCAAAAATAAAAAAATTAATTTGCACCCTATATATAGTCCAAATGAGTCCCCTCCAACATGAATCTAGACTGTCCATTTGGTGAATTTCAAGATCTAGGTCTTTATGAGCTCAAAATCAATTTTTTCTTTTTTAACGTTGTCAATCTAATGATAAGAAAGTTATCTAAGACCTAGATCTAAGTATCTCACCAAAATCAATAGCCTATGTTAATTGGGCTAAAAAACACATTCGAGATTGTGTTCTCAAATTTTTCTTTTTTTGTGGTTTTGCAATAGAATGAAAAGAATGTATATTTTGAAATTTTGGTCAAACAAACAAAATGGCCCTAACATGATTTTTGAAGATTGTTTCATTATATTACTATGCAACCGTTGCATGAAATCACTCCCCATATATTCTCATGAGCCAATTTCTACAGTATTTCACCATCCAAAGTCCATCAAACGATCACGATTGTCTAATAGTGTTTGAATTTTAATAACTTTTATGCAAATCAAATTAACTTGAAACTTTGTGGGTGTGTGCGCCGTAGTGAGGCACATCTAAATAATATTAAAATGAATAATCCAAATAATAAAAATGACCAAATTACCCCTATGACTATTTCAGGGGTATTTTTCATCATTTTATTTTAGAGAATTATGTTTTAACATTTTATTTAGGTGCGAGTTGGTTAGATATGCACACGCTTTAAATTTCAAATGAATACGGTTTGTAGAAAAATTATTAAAATTCAAACACCATCAGACAACCGCGACCCTATGATGGACTTTGAATGGTGATAAGCCATAAGCAAAATACAGTAGAAATTCGCTCATGAGTGTTTGTAAATGTTTTGCTATCTATATTTATACAAATATGAGATAATCTACAATTCACGACCTTTCAAAACATAAAGTTTAGTGTTAGAATGAGTTGTGAATGGTGTATTTACGAACTATGTGATTTCTTTTTTAAAACGATTATTTTTTGTAGTAGCTTGCTCATCAAATAATGGTGTTTATGTAAATATCAATAAAACATAGGGGACACTTTTGTCATCTTTAAAGGGTAAAGTTAATATTGTTACTTAAAGACAATGGTATTCTACAAATAAAGTTCTAGGACACTAACTTCCAAAACAACATTGTACGTTTATAAAAATTTCAAATTCAACTTTACTTAATGATTAATGTCAGTTTGGATGTACCCAAAATTGCAATATTTTTGGATTGCAATTCAAAAATCTTTTGAAACTGATTTGAACCGTTTGGACAACCTCAAGATTTTGTTAGATTTTTAGATTGAAATAAAAAATACTGCAACGTCAAGGCACAAGTTATCGTAAAAAAAAATTCAAGTCAGACTTGAAGTTTTTTTAATGAAAGTGCAGTTCTCTCATCCCCGTGCAAACCTCAACTCATGACCCAACAACTCTGTGAAACCTTAGAAACCCCAAATCTACTCTCTCTGAATAAACAGAGCATTTTCATTTTCTCTCTCTAAAAAAACCAGAGAAGCTCAAGCCCCATCCATGAGGGCCCTAGGCGGCGTCTTTGTAAAGCCAAGACCCTTTCTCTCTCTACAAAAGGCGAGCCTTTTCTCTCTACAAAAGGCGAGCCTTCTCTCATACCACACCCATGGGAAGCTCCTTCTCTTCATGAATAAGGAGAAGCTCGGGTTGTAAAAAATCAAAGAAGCTCAAGCCCCATCCATGGCAGCCCTAGGCGGCATCTTTGTGAAGCCAAGGCCCTTTCTCTCTCTACAAAGGGCAAGTCTTTTCTCTCATACCACACCCATGGGAAGTCCCTTCTCTTCATGAATAAGGAGAAGCTCGGGTTGCAAAAAACCAGAGAAGCTCAAACCCCATCCATGACGGCCCTAGGCGGCGTTTTTGTAAGGCCAAGGCCTTTCTCTCTCTACAAAAGGCGAGTCTTTTCTCTCATACCACACCCATGGGAAACCCCTTTCCCTTTATGAATAAGGAGAAGCTCAGGTTGCAGGTTTGCTTATTGTATGGAAGCAAATTGTTTACTGCTGTGAGAGATATAGGAAAATCTTTTTGGATTGGCAAGAGAATTTTGAAAGGGTAGAATGCGACTTTGCTTTTAGCATGTGAACTTCATCCAAACAATCCAGAATAACAATAAAAAAAAGATGGCAATGTTTATTAATTAAGGATGAAGAAACTTATGATTTTTTTCAATGTGAAGGTTTTTTATTTGACATTCAAACTGGCCCTAAGTTAGCTATTAAAATAATTTTTTAAACAAGAAGTAATATTTCTAACATTATCCTTTGTATTTTGAGGGGTTAATATAGGGATTAACTGCAAGAGACAATTTATATTTCTTACAAGGAGGTCACAATTACTCCTGGCCGTTACATGTCAAATTGGATGGGTTGGGGTATGTCACGAAGTTCGAACAATATTTTTAAGAACTTTGAGTCAAGTCAATAACATGCTCACAACCACTCAATTTGTTGAAGGACAAGAGTGATTGTGACCTCCTTGTGTTAAAAGTAAATGGGAATAGAACATAATTGATTAAGCATCAGTTCATAAGATGCAATCAACTATCACATAGAAAAATCAATGGTTGTCAAAACTTATTGTCTTTGGTTTTTTTTTATTTTTGGTTTAATTCTTTGGTTTCAAAAAGTGATAGCCATTCTCACAGAGAAAAGATAATTACATGTCACTAGAGGAGGCGCAAACCACAAATATAATGTGTTGTCATTGAGGCTAGCAAGACAGTCCCAATTATTCTAGGTATTTAAGTTCAAATCAATCATAGTTTATATCTTAATAGAACGGATGAAGTACTGAATGAGAAAAGTGGGAAAATCACTAATAGTAAGGGAAGGTTTTGGGGAGTAATAAGTTGTTTGCTAGAGGAAAAACTCTATGTTTTGTCTGCAGGGGTGACCAGGAAGAGCACCCGAGATGATCTACATCAAACTACTCACAAAAACAAAACACACATACACAATGAGATTAAAACTAACATGCACATTATCATAAATGAATTTAAAATAAACAAAAGAAAATAAATATACCTGCTTCTGGCAATGGTAACGTTTCCGAGAGCAATCAGCAGAGCACGAGTTGCAATGGTACTCGACAGCAGGTCCTTCCGGCCTCGCCGAAACATCAGGAATGGAAGAATCAGTAAGCATATTGGGAGGTGGAACAGCTGGAGCAGATAACCCTCCTTTTGTAACTACCTTGGGGACAGACCGAGATTGAACCTTTTCAAACTGATACAATTTCTCTAGTGAAAATGCCATTTTATCGATTTTAGAAGTCTCATTTGAATTGAGCAGAGTCTCATTTGGTGGAAAAGGGTGGAAATTTATTAAGCCCCAATGATCCAAAAATGCCATTACTTCATGCACAGCATCGAAATCTCCAATAGATTGATCAGATAAGTCTTCCACGGTCAACTGGGTTTGTGGGTCATTGTGAAACTTCTTAATGATTGAGTTTCTTACGTGCATGTATAAATCAGGGTTTCTCTTCTCTGACTTGCCATTAAAGAATGAAACTAAGGCCCGCTCCTCCAGTGGGTGGACCTTCGTCCATGAGAACCAACCTGTGAACAATTATAGTGACACGGAAAAATTGATCTCAACATATAAAATTTTTCCTCTGGAAAATTAACTGTAGATGCTATTAATCATAATGAGCTAAACAACAATATAGTCAATGAGTCCTTTCTTTTCATCAAAAGCATAATTTTATCGATATTTAGTATCAACACTACTTGATGAATTATCTTGAGGCAATACAATGAATGTACATCAATTAAGTATTGATATTAAAGGGCAATGATGCAATATTAAACTACCTTGAGATTATCTTGGGAAGATATGGGAATTGTGTTCAAACTCTTGTAATACAAGAGTTCAATGAACTGAAAGAGATCAAATGATTGTGCAATTCAGCAAGGAATGTTTTTTCAACATTTTTTATCATTCAACTGCAGTCAATTCCTATAAAAATGGTATACAAGTGTGCCCATATGTCATTCACAAATGGTATACAAGTGTGTCCTTATGTCATTCACAAGATCGAATCACTACACAACGTGCTCTACACAAAGACCTTTACAAAATTGCAACCGATATCGACATTAGTAACCCAAAAAGTTAACTGCTGCTGAAATTAAGGCCTAGGCAATGACCTCGCTAGAATCATCCTCGATGATATCATGTGGCCACCTGGAACCCATCAGACTAAGTCCATGTAGGAGGGACCAAGCTTCAGGTTCATCCGGTCACTAGAGTGAATGGGACCAGAGAATATAATAATTGTATGCCCCAGAGGATTTCTCAATGGGCCACTCACAGCATAGGCCCTGGATTTCCATGAGAACTACCATGGCATTCAACTTTATTGTACGCTCAAGAGGAGAGATCCATTTGGCCAATTTACTTGTCTTGGCTTGTATAACTGATCAATTTCATTGAACCTTGTCTTACAGCCCCTTACTGAGTATCCCTAAAACACCTATGAGATCCATGTTATGCAAATTCTCTCTCGTATCCTCAATTCCTCTTCTTTTGTCCTTGGAAACTATGTTCTCTTTCCAATACCAGAGGCCACAAAACCATCAACGTTTGATAATCACCATAACAACAAATCTCTCTTTGGCAGCAAGGGGGAGAAAGACCGAAGAATGAGTTCTCCTACTGAGACCGAAGCTGCCCAAATAGCCCAAAGAGATTCAAGATATAGGATAGTATATCATATGCAAATGAACGATATAAGACAAACAGCTTATCATTTTCTCTGCAGCCTTTGCATATAATACATATATCATGAATAAGCAGGCCTCTTCTAATAAGAGTGGTGAACAGTAGAGCTTTGTTGAGCACACTCTACTTGCAGTTGGGTTGGGGGCACCTCTGGGTTAGAATCTCATACATCGAGATGAAGGTGAAGTCCCCTTTACTGTCTGGTTCCCAGATGAGCCTATCAACAAAGCTTGAAATAGAATCTTTCTGATTCTTCTTGTGGCTTAACTGATTTAACTGCCTTTGTGGTCTTGGTGCATGGCTGGAGCCCAAACTGCTCGAGAGTAGACACCTTCAACTGTTTCAGCCACCTTTATCTTTGGTCTAGGGGCCAGCAGGTATAGATCAGGACACACCTCTTCAACAATGGCCTCTTCCCAACTTTATCAATCCAAACCCAAGTCCTCTACATTCATTAACCACCCTCTACATTCATTAACCACCATACTTAAATTGCTTAAAAACTTTGCCTCACAGCTACTACCTTCCACATCACAGATAGCTCGTCTTTAGTTTAATTTTCTTTCAACAATCTTCCAGTGTCATCCACCCCATATTTAGAGGCCACCACCGATTTCCATGGATGGGATGGTTGGGTGCCAAACCTCTACCAGCAATTAGTTAGAAGGGCAAGATTCATTGGTTTGAGACAGCAGAACCCCAAAACCCCTTTTGTTCTTAGGCAAAGCCAATGCACCAAAAGGATTCCATGCTTTTCTGAGGACCCACCCCACAAGAAGTTCCGCGTCATTCTCTCCATAATACCTGCCACAAAGGCAGGGATAGAGAAAAGTGACATAGAGGTATATTTGTAGGTTGGTTACGTCGCTTCAATAAGGGTAATTCCACCTCCCATAAATAAATAAGATCTAGTTTACCAAGATCTAGCTTCCTTTTCAAACCTATCAATGAATCCTCCCCACAAGAATTTTGTTGGTTTACGTAGGTAAGGGGTAGAACTTAATACTTACATGGCAACCTGTCCACACCACACCCCACACATCTAGATAAATGAAGAAGCTTCTGCTAAGAGACTTCAACACCCAATAACTAATTTCCCTACTAATTTTGATGCCCCAAGAGACCTCAAATCATCTAAGTCACAAACTCTTAATCTGTTTTTTTTTTTCTTAATGTTGATGGAATAATTGTATCGCTAGAACCCAAAAGATTACAATTTATGATGTAGGCCTGTTAAGTGGACATGCTAAGGAGTTCATATACAAAAAATGGTGCCCAAGAAGGCATATTGTACAAAAATAAAGAACTCAAAATGAAACCAAAACAAAAACTGTGGAATCGAGCTCCAAAAAATGTTGTAGGTTCCACCAATACCCTTGCAGCCGCACCCTCCTTTGCAACTAAGTCTGCTCTAGAGATTGCCTTCCAACAGGTATGTTGAAAGGAGATGCGAATATGTCTGCAAAGAAAGGAAATATGGTAAAAGATGTACTCTAGGCGCCATGGGCAGGTGGAGGCACCTATGGCCCATGCTGCAACATTTCTTCTACGACCAATGAATTCTCACAGTCCCAGTTGTATCTGTTGATACTGTCTAGGGCCTTCTAGGACCATCATTGCTTCTGTGGCAGTCAAGCGACGTGACCAAGATGACCAGAATACACAAGTAGAGTACTGTTATGGTCTCTGGTCACACATACCTCCACAGCCTGCAAAGCCAGGGATGCCAAGAGAGCAAAAGTCAAAATTGAGCTTTAGCTTATGTGCCTCCGGGGATCTCTAAAGGGAAGAGCGCGAGACCCTAGCAGGTCTGAATGCGAGAATATTATGCCAACTGTTTAAGAAATTGGAGGTGGAAAGGCCTCTCAGGGATTTATGCACTGGCCCAACGGATCATCAATGTCTTGATACGGCCTAATAGGGCATTGGGGCTGGACTCCCTTCCTTCAAAGATTATGGCCTTCCTCTCTGTCCAAATGTCCATATGGTTAGGGGCGGGAAACCGGTCAGATCCACCCGACTGGCTCGGGGCCTGAACCAAGACAGTGGACCCGACAAGTTGGGTTTGGATCTACTTGACCTAGACCAAAGGCAGGTTGGGTCTAGATCCGGTCCAACTTGAAAACTATCCAGTTGGGTCGGGCTCAACCCAACCCAACCCAACCCAACCCGATCTGGTATCTGTTCGTGTAAGATATAGTACGTATTGTAACATGTATAACATTATTTTTATATTTTTGTATTTCTAGACACGAATCCTATCTAACCCGACCCTCGAGGTTCAATTGACTTGTACGCAACCCAGGTCTGGGTCTAACCTGAACCTAGGTGGGTTAGATCCAAGTCCAAGTCGACTCAAAACCACCCCGACCCGTTCCCAACCCTACATAAGGTCAGAGTCACTGCCGCCTGCCACAAAAAGAGGTCAGCAACCGAGTAAGGACGTGAGGAGAATGCTTGGAAAAGTTGCAAGACTATGGGGTGAGAAGTTTTGAAGCATATTTGACCAAATGGTTTCAACCACATGGCAGTGGTAGAGGAGATGATTGTTGGTTTCTTGTGCTGCTTTGCATATGGCACACCTATTGGGTATATGTAGCCCCCTACGCTACAACTGGCATACTGTTAGGGCCTTTTGGGGAATAGTAGTCAAGACAAAGGTTTGTATTGTGGTGGGATTGAATTAAGCCAAGCTCTTCTAGCTGTTGAGTACGATGAGGGGTGGTGGGGGAAGAGGGGTGGTGGGGGAAGAGGGGTGGAGGGGCTGTGTAGGATGCTCGGATGCCGTAGGAAGAGGCAACTGAGAAGAAGCTTGAGTGGGTTGGTGATCAAATCATAAAATCAAGCCCTTGCCTAGAAAGATAAGTGTTTTGGAGCAAGGCCAATAGAGAACTAAAATCAGCAATCACGTGGTCCCAAAGAGATCTTCTAAAAATGGGGCTCTAGACCGTAGTGCTTCCGAAGTGTCATAGGAGTGTTCACTAGTAATTTCCGAGAATATTACTAGGCATAAGAGAGACTTTATGGTGAGTTATCTCCAATTCAGATGTCCCGCAAGAATTTGGCCCCTCCCTAGCACTAAACCAGACATCAAGCTGGAATTGATTGAGGCATTAAGTGACAAACCGCCAAACCCCTAAGGGCCTAATGATAGAGTGGAAAGATGGGAACCAATTGAAGGAATCAATTTGGTATTTTTGCCTGATGACCTACTACAAGAGGTGGTTGGGTCGAGTGGCAAAACGCCACCACTACTTCCCTAGAAGAGCCAAGTTGCAACGTTTGAGGCTCCAAATGCTGAAGCCCCCTTTGTGTTTAGGAAGAGTGAGAGTGAGTCCAAGTCACCAAGTGGATATGATGCCAATATTCTGAGCCCGACACACGCAGTCCTTCATAAGTTTCTTTGGGCGATGGGCACAGTAGCAAGAAGGCTGAACAAAATCTAGTATAGTAGGACATTTGATAGGGTGTCCTTGATGAGGGTGATACCCGATACGCCCTGCTTTGGATAGGAATCCACCCTGCCATGGCTCATGTTTATGGTCAGTCCTCTCTACAATGGGAGCCAACAATTGTTTATTGGGCTTACCAGTGCACAATGGTAGGCCGAGGTATCTAGAGGGGAGGGTCTTAATGCCACATCTTAACCTGGCTGCTAAGGCCAAGACTGATTGGTGATCTAAAGTGACCCCCATTAATTCAAAGTTCGCTAAGTTAACTTTGAATCCAGTGGCGAGTTCAAGGCATTAGAGGTAGAGCCACAAGGTACCATCTACTGTGTGGTGGCACCAATAAAATATAAGGGTGCCGTCAGCATGTACAGAGGTGTGATATT